TGGCGGCACGCGCGATGCCTGCTGCGAGGATGCGCCGCCGCTGGGGCCCGCGACCGCGACGATCGACGCTCTCCCCGTTCTTGGCCTTCTCGGATATCTCCTCGCTCGCGGCATCGCGCGCCTTGCCTGCTGCGGCCAGAGCCGCTGGAGAGAACTGAAGACCCATCTCGCGCGCGATGGAAACCGCCGAGGCCAGATCGGCCACCCCGCGAGTAGTTACAAAGAAGAGGCGCGCCACGATGACAAGGGGCTTGCTGTGACGGTCTTCCTCGCTGCCCTCGGCGCCACCCCCCCCCGCGCCGCTTCGCCGGCGGCGCCTCGACCCCTCGGGGCGGCGGGCCCGGGAAGCTTTGAACCGCGACGGCATCGCCAGCTCTGACATCCGCGGGAACGTCGAGATAGGGTCGGGCCGCAGGCGGCGGGCGTTCTCGGCGAGGCTGTGAAGGCCACGGAAGACGGGGGTTTGAACGGCCACAGATCTCATCAAAGTCCGCACCCTGATAGTCACACACAGAACACGTAAACGATGTCGGGGGGCTCAACACCGACAGCGAAGTAGGGCCATTCGTAGAATAACTCCCTCTGGGCACTGCCCCAGGACGACGCCGAGCTGCTGTCACTGACATCGAGAATGCTTGCCAACAGTTGATGCGTATGCTGGCGATAGCACGGCTGGTAAATTACGCGCACGGCGGTGGGCCCTCAGATGGATAAGTAACGCCTTGCGGCCCTGACAGATTGCATTGCGCTGGATGCCATTGTCATCTATGATATTGCACCGATATTTCCCCCCCTCATCCCAGCCCGCTCCTGCGCCGCGGGCCCAGCCAAGCTTCGCGACAGGGAAGCGCGCAACGAACGAGCCGACCGCCTCGACGTTTCGGCCCGCACCGCGCACGGGCAGCACGACGGGCCAGTCTCACCCCCGCTGCCGCACGTCCCCCATGCCAAAGGTCAACTGCCACAGATGCAAGCTGCGTCCAAAGCCGTCGCGAAGCACGCCGTTTTCGCGGATTGAAACTTGCCGCAGCGAATGGCGCCCCGTCGTTCGAGGAGATTCCCCCTTTCGAAGACAGTCGGCAGAATCGTTTGGACAGAGCTCCTGCGAGCGCGCGAAACACGATCGACCAGTCTCCACTGAGCAGTTCTCCACCACCTCAAAGATCCCATCTGGGCCCGCGCCATAACTGCACCACTGCGAGTGCAGGCCATCAGACTTAGTTGTCAATGCTTCCAGAAACTGCACTCGGCAGCGAATCGAATATTTTTGCGCCAGAGCATGTCCGACGTACGTTTAGGGGGCGGTTGCCCATAGACTCCTCGCGCGAGGTTTGCGGTTGTCTCCGCCATTGTGAAAAGTGCATTTCGTCCCCTTTTGCCGCGCGCCCACGAATGGCAGGATCTGGCATCTTCGACGAACTGAGCGCGAGAGGGAGAGCGAGAGAGGGAGGAGACAGAGAGAGAGGGCAAAAAGGAGGAAAGGAAAAACAACTCACTAAAAACAAAAAAACGACAGAGAGAAGAGAGAGGGAAACAACCTGACGGAGAAAGGCAAACAATCAAAACCAAAGGCCCTGACCCAACGTGGCCCCAGACGGCCCCAACAGGGGCCCATGAGAAGGAACGCGACCGGACATTTAGAGCCTTCCGCCCCGAGGTGGCCCCCAATGCCCCAGAGGTTCCCTGGCCCCCCAATGCGCTGCCTATGTTTTATGTTCTCCCCTCAGACCTCAGACCCCCGGCGGGCCCGCCCGCGGCCGAACTAAAGGCTTCCCGCCGCGCGCTGATGCTCGCGCGCGCCCAGCGCGCCCCGGCTGACCGGGCCGCAGCTGAGCGGCGTCTGACCGCCGCCAAAAACACCGCAGCACCGCGAGGCTCACCCCCCGCGCCTCGCCCGCCGAACTTTCGCCAGCAGCGCAGGCCGCCCTGCCGCCTTCAGGCTCGTCCGTTCGGCCTGGCGGTCGGCGAACCGCTCGCCCGGGCCCGTCGACAACCGCCGCGCCCTCTAGACGCGGGCGACGCGGCTCGCCGCCGCGCCCCTCCGGGCCACGCCCATCCAAGCGCCCACCGCCACCTGGCCCCTGCGCACCCGGAGCCCACTTGGCCCACGAAGGGGCCATTCGCGCGCGAACGACGGGCTGCGCCGCAACAGCCGCGCAGCCGTCCTCGCCCTCGCGCCACCCCTCCCCCCCCCCGCAGGTCGTCGCCGCGCGCCCCCTCGCCGCTGGCTGCCATCGCGCCGACGGGAAGGGCGCCGACGACGCAGGGCACCTTCGCTTGCACGACGCCCCCAACGCCGAGTAAAACCACCGCCTGGCCATCCATCGTGCACCAACAGTTCCTCCGGCGCCTGCCCCACACCAGCGCCGAGCACGAAGGACATGTCGACGCCGCCTGCGCCGATGGGAAGCGCGGCCAGTGCCGTCCAGTGCAGCGGGCTAGAAACGGGGCCCCGTCGCCGGATCCTCCAAATCGCAGCCGCCTCCCCCTGGCCCGCTCCGCCAGGTCGACGCGGGCGCCCGCGGGCGCGCCGCGCCCGCGCCTGCGCGCCGCCAGCGCCCAGGTCAAGGTCGCGCTGTCGGCCACCGGGCGCGCTGCTAGCACCCAACGGCGCGGCAGCGGCGCCTCCGCAAGCAGCGCCCTCCGCGCCCGCCCCCGCGCCCCGGCGCGCCCACCCGCGCCGCCTGTTCGCTACAAGCGGTTCAGCGACGGATGCCGCATGCGCGCAATGCTGAGACCACGCCTGCCAGCGCAGCGCAAGCTTGCATGGCACCCGCGGCGCCCCACAAACCGCGCTGGCCTGCGCGCCCGCGACGCCCGCGGCGCACTGGCGACCATGGCCGCCCACACTGCCCCGACTACTTCGCCAACGAGCACGTTGGTCGCGCCACCGCTAACTGCCTGGCAGCGTCCGCGAGCATATCCTCCATGACTGGCACGACCCATGCCGCGCGCGTGATTAGCCCGTCGCGCAGGACGTCGCAGGGCGCGCGGACGACGCCCTGACGCTCTGCCAGGCACACCGCCTGCGCGGCCGCCGCTGCATGCCGCGCGTGCATCGCCTCGAACTGACCTTGCCTTCCAGCACTTGTCGCGCCTGAAGGCGGCAGCCAGCTTGGCGCGCCGCCAACTGCGCCGCCTCCCGCCGCGTCCGCCGCGCGGGCCTGAAGGACCTCAAGCCGCGGCGGTCCCAGGCTGTTCGGCCGGAGCGGGGGAGGCCACGCAGCCCACTACAGCCATCTGAGCCCAAAAACATCACCCCGCGAACGCCGAAACCTTCCCGCGCGCCCGAGGAGCATCTTGCGCCCAAATGGTTACGGCGAGCCCCCCACGACGCCCCAAGAGGCCCCCAAAACCATCAGATGAAAACGGTTCCAAACCTTCCCCAGGCACATCCCAAGACACCCTCACATGCACCCACGAAGTCTCCGAAACACAGCCCAAACAGGGTGGCGGGATAGGGCGAAGGCCACTGTACACCTACATGCATGTGTACGCACATAAACGTACAAACCGATATGTGTATAACTGTGTACACAATACTGCATACACATGTTTGGAGATTAAAATGTGTATACACATACATATATTCACACGGACTTACACGTGTATACGTATGCATATATATATATATATATATATATGCATTGTAGATCCGATGCGTACGATTGGGTGTCAATCTATTTATACATGTATACATGCATAGATAAATATACAGGTGCGTAAGCATCTGGATATGAAAACAATCACCTGTATTCACATTCACTCAAATAACTGTAGAGCCACATGCGTAACCATATAGATATATACATGTGTGTGTTCACGTGCACAAGTACACAGAAACCACATATATACATATATGTACATAGATACATGTAGATAGACACGTGCAAACACACACACACACACACCAACAAAAAACATACCAAACGCACACGCCCTTCCCCTTTCTGCTCGTTACTGCCATGTTCGCCGTCGGCTTCCTTGTTTTCCCCCATTCCAGGAGCGCGAAATGCGACGCGCGCAGCTCCCCTTGCGCAACCCGATGCAGCGCACGGCTTCCCACGACCACGTCGCTGTCCCACCAGTTCTGCCGTCACACTGACAGCACCCAGACTCACGCGCGACACCTCCCACGGGTCAGTGCCCCAGCCCGAATTGCTCACGAGACGTGCGTCCCATGCGCGGTGGAGCGACTGCGCGGTTGCCACACCTTTCACGAAGCTGAGCAGCAGACCGCCTCGCACGACCGCAACTTTGTCCCGCCGTCCTGAAGGTCACACTGGCAACATTGAGATTCACGCGCGACACGCCCCACGTGTAAGCTCCCCCGCAAGGCTGGCGCAAGTGAAGCGAGCACCGTGCCCGGCGACAGACGGCGAGGCAGCGACTCCGCGCACGCACGGGAACAGTGGAACGCCTCCCACGATCGCACCGTGAACTCGTTCTCTGCGCAGTCCTTGCACACCGGCCTGCTCCCCTTGCACACATGATTCCTTCGCCGGTGGGTGAGACGCTCCTGCCACGCGAACATCACGTCACACAACGCCTGACAAACATGTGTCAGCCCAACATGGTGCAACCCACGTCGTCAGGGACCCATACATCGCCCTAGAATCACTGATTCCTAGCTTCGTCGGAAGTCGGCGGAATAGCGTAAACCTCTTGAATGCTCTCATACGGAATCAAGCGCAGAAGCGGTAAATGTAAGCCAGAAGGACCCGTGAGCTGTTTATCTGGCTGTTTCGCACGTCCTTGAAAATGGATGCTCTGGTTGCACGCCCCCTCGGCACGACAGAAGAATGGCCGCGAGGAAATAACCTGGAAGAGAAATGATGTCGGTGAGTTCAGGCCTCAATGCTCACCTTGGAATAAACATAATTAGGAAGGTGTATGAATCCTTACTCATCTGGAAAGCACTGCTCGCTCTGCTGGTACGAGGAGCGAGCACAGGCAAGCAAAACAGACAATGGGGCAGAGAATTAACAAAGTCCAGGCACCTCCGTGGCAGCCAGCCCATCGCGCTCCATCCTGGCGAACCACCTTGGGCGGGAGGGTGCCGGCGAGACTGAACAGCGCCACAGGAGGAGGAGGAGGAGGAGGAGCCGAGGAGGAAAACGACGACGACGACGAAGACGACGACGACGACGATGACGATCACGACGACGACGACGACGACGACGACGACGACGACGAGGACGACGACGACAACGACGACGACGGCGACGACGACGACGAGGGCGACGACGACGACTCCTCCTCGTCCTCCTCCTCCTCGTCCTCCTCCTCCTCGTCCTCCTCCTCCTCGTCCTCCTCCTCGTCATCCTCCTCCGCCTCCCCCTCCCCTTTCCGCGATAAACAGCCGCTGTGTTTCGAATTCGTGTTGTTTCCGTTTTCCCGCGTTCTGTCTTCGATCCGCCTCTGCTGCAAAACGAGATCGAAACGAAAACGGTCCACGAAATCGCCAAAACACAGTTTTTAGGTCGACCCCTGGCCATAAACCCCCCTGGAGGCCTTGAGGCCGACTGCACGTCGCCGCGCCTGGCGTGGCCCATGATCAGGGCGCTGTAGGAGCGGTGGTCTGGCCTCGGCCGACGCACGCCGCGCAAGCGCCGCGCGCGCGCCCACCAGGGCCGAACGACGGCGCCACGACGACGACGGCGCCACGACGACGACGACGACGACGACGACGACGACGACGACGACGGGCGGCGGCGACGTCGGCGCGGTGGTGACGCCGAAGACGCCCGACGGCGGCCGCAGCCGCCGCGGCCGCTGGGTGCCCGGCTCCAGGCCGGCTTCGCGGATCCTGGCGCCAGGAGGAGGGGGTCGGGGCTCCCTCTCTTCCTTTCCTCCTTGTCTCCCTCCCTTCTCTCCCTCCCTTCACTCCCTTCCTGCCCTTCCTTCTTCTCCCCTGACTCCCTCCATTCCCTCCCTTCCCTTCCTTGCCTCCCTCCTTCCCTCCCGTCCCTCCCTCCCTCCCTTCCGTCCTTCTGTTTCTCCCTCCACCCCTCCCTCCCATTACTCCTCCCTTCCTCCATCCCTCCTTACCCCTTCCCCCCCCCCATGCCTGCTTCCATCTGCTGTCTGCGCGCTCGCATCAGCCATGTGATTATGTGGCCATGGTATGTTGTGGTGGGGGATGGACTAGGTGTGGGCGGGACTCCCTAACACTTGTATGCTCCTCTCCCCAGGCATGGCAATTTATCATTTCGTCTCCAAGCAGCGCGGACTCAATATGTACTGTGCCGCTGGATTATTGCTTCTAGTCCCTTGTTCTTTCTTCGCCATATGAGCTCATCTCTCGCTGCGGACCCAAACCTGCTTATTCAGTCAGGGGGGCCACCAGTGTACTCCCCTCCCCGTGGGACTCCCCCGTCGCCTCCCTTCCCCTGGCTCCGTCCCCTTCTGAGATCGAGCTCGTGTACACCTTTCGTCGCAGATGGTGCACAACTGCTTAGCCTCATTGTGGAGGGGGTGTAGATATTTTTGAAGGGGCACCGGGACACACAAATGAATATACACAAATAACCGGATCCCCCATAGTTTCCCATATGTTCTGGGCTTTTGTCTTCCCCCCACTTCCCACATTTTCCCATATCTTCCTGGGGATCGACGATTAATTGTGTCTGTGTGTGCTTTCCCCTCCTGAATTGTGGACGTTGGGGAGGTTGGGTGGGTCCACATGTTTTACTGTCGTGCCTTCCGCTGTGGCGGACTTTTTCCGAAGGAGGGCGGTCCGAGTTTGCCACGTTGTCCTTTTCGCGCTCCTCTGCCTTCCGCCCTTGCCCTTGCTGCCGCGCGAAGCTCGTCGGCCTCAATCTGCGCAGCTGCCTCAGGAAAGCGTCGGCCTGAGGACTTGCTATCAAGACTTACAGTCAACCAGGACAGTAAGGATGCGCGATAAGGATGCAAGGGCCTCGGACGCCCATTCCGAAGTTTGTCGAGCGGGGCGCGGCCAGCGAAAGCGGCCAAGGATGGAGCCTTGGGAAGGTTGCCCATCCTTACTATACGGGTTGACTGTATCATCCTCCTCTGTTCAGTGTCGTATGATCCCTACCCCCTGATTCAGTTTCATGGGGTAGGGTGAGCCCCCGTTTGCGGATGCTTTGGGCTGCGCAGCTACACAAAATATAGCCCCGCTCCACACACACACACACACGCACACACACACACACACACACACCTCGGCTACCCAGGTCATGCACCTTGCTTTCGTGGATGGCCGACTCGATCCCATCCGTCCCTCCCTCCCTACCTCCTTGCTTCCTTCTTTCATTGCCTCCTCCTCCTCTTCTTCCACCTCCTCCTCTTTCCTCCTGCTCTTCCTTCCTCCATCCTCCTTCCTCCCCATCCATCCCCTCCCTCCCCCCCTTCCCTGCTCCTCCTCCGAATCTCAACATGTCGATGCGAACTCCCCGTGTACGGGGCATGGTGCGCGTGGAAGGGCATGTCACGCACTTCCAGCCTCAGAGGGCTCTGGCAACTGAGACCTTTCAGCAGCAAAGGGTAGGCACCACATGCCTTCCCCCATCCAGTGAGAAGCTGCATCAAGTGCATCACCTCATGCATGAGATGAGTACGTGGTCCCTGGGCGCCGGAAGCTACACATAAAAACCGCTGGTGCTTCCAGAGACGCTGGAGCTCTGTGAAATGGGGGCCAAACAAAGCGCATCTGTTCTGGGGCGGGTTCTGCCTAGAATGTCGGCGCGAATCCAGCCCTGGCGACATGAACTCCCCCAGAGGCCTAAGCAAGGCGAAAAGCGAACAAATCCTTGTGGGTCCCAAGAGTGTCCAAGACGCCCCCAAGACGGTCCAAGAAGGCTCCAAGATAGCCCCAAGACGGCTCCATAAGCCCGCTGCTCCTCATCCTACTCCTCCTCCTCCTCCTCCTGCTCCTCCTCCTCCTCCTCCTCATCATCATCATCCTCATCCTCTCCCCTTTCCTCCATCCCTTTCCCTTGTACACGACTCCTCCCTGTCTCACCCGAAGACGCGTCGCTAGAGCGGGCCGGGCGTCTCTTGAGACTTCACCACCGTTTACAACCCACAAGCTCAAAGCTTACAACCGCTTCACGGATGGAGGGCGGGCCGATTTCAAACCGTGGCTCTAGCCGTAGCGCCGCACGCACTGGTCTTCAACATCTGCAAGAGCTTCACGGATGGAAGGCGGGTGGTCTTCAAACTGCGGCTCTCGCCTTGGCGCCACGCGAACTCGTTCGAAATGCTTGCAGGAGCTTCACGGATGGAGGGCGGGCCCTCTTCGTAATGCGGCTCTCGCCTCGGCGCCGCGCATACTCGTCGCAGAAGTTTGCAACAGCTTCACGGATGGAGGGCGGGCCGTCTTCAAAATGTGGCTCTCGCCCTAGCCCCGCGCACGTGCGCCTTGAAATGTTCAACTGATTCACCGTTTGAGGGCAGTTCCTTTTCAAACTGTTGCCCTCGCCTCAGCGCCGCGCACATCAATTTGAAATTTCTCTACAGCCTCAAGGATTCCTATGGCTTACGTCCCAGATATGGTGTTTGATACGATGTAGGACTGTCAGGGTGCGGATTCGCGGTGTTGAGATTCCAGGATGGTGCAACTCAGGACCGTCAGGACGCAGCAGTAGTGTGAATTCGCGGCGATCAAGTCCCAGGACTTGTGCTTTGGCATGGTTCATGGTTTCCAGCTGGTTATCTTGCAACGGGGCACTAGCCTCAGCGCACGTAAATCCTGCAGGGACCTGTGGAGAGGGAACTTGGAGGCAGGTTTACTGCAACATCGTTGATGGGCCTTGGGCTTAGAGTGGTCCTCCTTCTCCTCCTCCTGCTAATTACTCCTTTTCCCTCTTCCCTCCTCCCTCCCCCCTCCTCTCTCCTCCCTTCTCCTCCTCCCTCCTCCCTCCCCCCTCCTCCTCCTCCCCCTCCTCCGCATCCTCTCCTCTCGTCCTCCTTCATAGTAATGTGTGCCTAGGCCAATGGCTCGAAAACTCGCTACGATCGAAGTCCATCAGCCTTCGAGACGTATCAGATCGTTGCTTAGAGTGAGGGATCTGTATCATGATAAGAAACCCATAACTGAAACAAAAACAACCAACAAAAAGACAGAACTTCAGGGAAAGGCTTATCCTTCCCCCATACCCCCTTCCTGGGGGTCTGGAAGGGGCGGGAGCGCGAGCGGTCGGAGCGTTCAAGAGGCTCCAAGAGGAGCCCAGGGCAAGAAAAGATAGCATACGAGATTGCACAAGATAATGCAAAAGGCCTCCAACATGCCCCGAAACGGCTCCAAAAAACGCAAAATGGATCGAAGAGGCTGCCGGAGGACCTCGGTCCTTTCTAGGAGCGCCCCCGTGCAAAGCCAGAGAACTTCAGGCATGCCCGGAGCGCACTGCACAAAGCCAGATAACATCAGATAAGTGACTGCTGCGTTGCTGAAAATCCCAACGATGCACACGCGAGCGCAAAAAACGTTGAAACGACAGAGTAGGCTGCTAAATGATGGTTGCCTTCTCAAGAATGCCCGAAGAGGCACCCGCTTTTTGGTCGATGGCACCCACGATGACCGAGAAGGACCTCAAGAGAGCCCCAAAGGCATCGAAAATTGCCCCAAGAAAGCCTCAAGATTGCCCCCTGGAGGCCTTAAAGAGGCTTCCGGGGGCCAAAATCGATAATTGTTCGGGGATGATCGGATTGACCACAGCTTCGTTTTGACAGCTGAACCTCACATGCATTGAATTGTGAAGAATTGCAAACAACATATTAAGATGAGGCACATGCGGTCCAACACCCCAAGGGGCCCAGCTGTCTGGCTTCGGCACTCCAACACGCAAACGACAGATATCATAGCAGACTTCCAACGAGGCGGACATGATGAAACAAAAGACGAACAAACAAACACGCACATGGCACTGTCTGACGACGTCCCGAGGCTCTGGAACTGGCCTGTGCCAGCCCAAGACTGACCCCCAGACCCACCCCGGAAAACCTCAAGACCAGTGTTCGAGCTGCGTGCAGCCGAATCCGCGAGGGTTCCCCATGAGCAGGGGGCCAGAAAACCACCCCCATGGTAACCACCCCAACAAGCGAGGCCGTTCAGTAAACGCACCCACAGAAGGAATCGAACAGGGCAGGGCCGCTTAGTTTACGCCCAGGGCCGCTTAGCCAACGCGAATCCTCGGGTCTGGGTGGTTCACTCCTCCCTTGGAGGGAGGCCCAGAGAGGAGGTCGGCCGCGGCCGCGCTCCGCTCCGAGCCGACAGCCAGGCCCGGGGTGCAGCACGGCCCTCCGTGGTGGACGCTGCTGCCCCCTGGAGCCGCAGTGCCCCCGGAGCTGCCTCCTCCGCCCCGTCTTCTTCCCCCCGTCGTCGTCGTCGTCGTCGTCGTCGCCCCCCTCTGTGCGGCAAAACCTATGCTCGGCTGCAGTCGGAGCAGGGACAGAGGAACACCCTGCAAGAACATGGGACCCTCCGCTGGCCCGAACACCCCAGACCAGAAGGTCGCTCGGGGGTACCAGGATGCAGCATGCACAAGAACATGCAACAAGCACGAAGAACACAGCAAGGTTCCCTCCCCGAACCGACCTCGATGTTATACCTCGGTCCGACCGTATAGAGGCCTCACGGATGGTCTCGGAGCAGATGGGGTCGGAAAATGTCGCCGCACCCCCGATGCATCGGCGATGCATCAGCGATGTCGGAACATCGGGCTCCACATCGAGGCGCATCGCCGATACAAACGGCGATGCGGCGCGATCCAGAGGTGACGCCGGCGAAAGGCCCCTCTTGCGTGTGCCCCGGGGCTTCTGCCGACGTGGGTCAATGCAGACCCGGGCCAGTCGGGCTTCCCAGAGATCCGATGTCGTGGTTTCTTCTATACGGGGTCCCCAGACGCCTCGACCCGTTCCCCAGGACGGGCTTTTCACCCTGTGTCGCTGTGGACGGTCCTGGGGCCCGGCGAGGGCCGCTGGAGGCCGAAAATGGCCACAAACCCAGGAATGTGTTGGACCTCTGGGTTGGATCTCTGGGTGTGCGCTGGATCTCTGGGTCTGCAGGGCCCTGCTGAGTCCTGCAGGACCCCGCAGCGCCAGCCCGCATCCCCGTGCAGCGCCGGGCAGGCCTGCGGGGCCCCATGCGAGCTCCGGCCCCGCCTCCACCGGCTCGACCCCCGACTTGCGGGGAACCCCCAGGGGCTGGCGGCGCGCACAGTCTGGACGCCCGAGGTGGGCACGGAAGGCATGGGCACCATGCCTAGAGGCCTCCTGGATGGGATCGGAGTAGATGGGGTCGGAGGATCGAGCCGCATCGCCGATACATCGGTGATGTATCGGCGATGCATCGGCGATGCATCGGCGATGCACTGGCGATGCATCGTCGACGTCGGCGAAGCATTGGCGACGTCGACCTGAAGCAAATCGGGCCCTACATCGAGCCGCATCGGCGATGCATCGACGATGCGGCGCGATCCTCCGACCCCATCTACTCCGACCGCATCTAGGAGGCCTAGAATGCCCAGCAACAAATGTTGCCCCAGACCAGCAGCGGCCACTGTTGGGCAGGCGGCCTTCTGTCTCAAACGGTTACAGGCCGCGGCGACACCGACAGCGAGTGCTGTCCAAAATGAGCAGGAACTGCTGTTGGGCATTGTACCCATTCTTGCCGCACCCATCTCGTTCGTGCCGACACAAGGGGGTAGGGGGAGGGGGGGGAAGGCTTCTTAGGAGGAGGCTGCTTCCTGGAAGGCGCCGGCCTTGCATCTACGGAGAAGGCCCGCGCCTTCTGAGAAGCAGGCGTGCTTCTAAGGAGCCTCCTGCGCGTGACCGACGACCTGCGGGGAACCCCCCGAGGGGGCGAGCTGCCCGCGGAGCCTCTCGAAGAAGCCCTCGGTGCGCTCCGTGTCCCCGGAGCGGGCGTGGGCCTGCCGAGGGCCAGCGGGCGGCGGGGGCCCCCGAGGCCTCGCACGGGACGGCGCCATCCGGTAGCGCCCAGGCACGAGGAAGACGTTGACGACGACGACGACGACGACGACGACGACGACGACGACGACGACGACGACGGACGACGACGACGACGACGACGACGACGACATTGACGACATTGACGACGACGACGACGACGACGACGACGACGACGACGACGACGACGACGACATTGACGACGACATTGACGACGACATTGACGACGACGACGACGACGACGACGACGACGACGACGACGACGACGACGACATTGACGACGACGACGACGACGACGACGACGACGACGACGACGACGCGTGGATCCAGCCGCGGCCGCAGGGGACGGGGGTGGCGCGAGGCAGGGCGGCAGTCTGAGGCGGCGCATGCTGGAAGCCCGCCTGGCCTCTGAGAAGCCACCGTGGATTGGGAAGCCGCCAAGCCTAGACGTCGGGCGTCTCGAAAAGAATCGAGACGGAGGATTTTCGCTGTTCTCGGCCCCTCGGGGCCCTCGCTGGGCCTCGGAACCATCGACAAACGCCTCGGGACCGTCAAAGAACGACTCGGGATGAAAATAAGGTCACGGGGAAGTGGTCGGGAGGTCGGGGGCCCGTGTCTCGAAAAAATCGAGACGTCGGATGTCTGGGAACGTACCCCCAGGACGACGTGCCCCCCGTGAGGGGTCGCAGAGGCGACGATTCCAGCCACGGTGGGCGCCGAAGCGCAGCCGCTGGGCGCTACGAGGTGAGCTCCCAGGCCCACTCCGCAGGGTACGTCTGTTCGTGCCGTGCCGACTTCGGCGTCGGTTCCCGACTCCGCGGGGATCGTTCAGCCTTGAAAGACCGGGCGTTCCCGAAACGTCATTCGCCCAACATCGACCGAGCCTGGGTCGCGCACGCGCGGGCACGAATGACTGGCCACCAATGACCGCCAGCATTGGATGCCAATCGTACCCGATCACATACATGAGCGATACATTGAGCATACATGGGCCATTCAGCCCCCATTGAAGACCCCCTGTTGCAGACCCCCTCTTTCACCCTCCAATGAACTCCGGCGGCGGGGTCGGCTCCGGTCAACACGACACGGACCTGCCGTAGGTCTGTTCTGGGACACATGCCCAGATGTCCGACGCTTCGATTGTTTCGAGATGCGGGCCCCCGCTGGCGAGGGCACCGCAAGGCCGAAAACGGCGAAAAACCTCTGTCTCGACTTGTTCGAAACGCCCGATGTCTAGGTTTGGCCTCCCCCGATGGGGGGGCCTCTGGGGCCTCTCCATGTGAAGTCCCCTGCTCTCGGAGGGACACTCCTCCTCTTCCTCCTCCTCCTGCTCCTCCTCCTCCTCCTACTCCTCCTCCTCCTCCTCCTCCTCCTCCTCCTGCCGCTCCCTCTTCCTCTTCCTCCTCCTCCTCCCAGCCATTTCGCACTCGAGGAGTGTTGCAGGTGTACGTACTTCGAAGTGGCATCGTGCCTGCGAGCCATTTCCGTGATCGTGGCCCAGGATCCTACATGGGCTCTCCAAACGATGTGCTGCCAGGCCCGAAGTACCCCACGTGGGGGTGCAAATGCGGGACTGACGGTAATTGGGCCAGCAGGCTCAAGTGCAGAGGATGTCAGCAGCCTGCCCCTCAAAGGATCCAGGCTGATGCCAAGGCAGCCGCTCAGCAGCTCCGCGCCCCATCCCAAAGTGCGCCCAAGGGCGCGTGGGCCAACGGGCCGCCTGGCGAGTCGGCATCCATCAAGGCGCTCAAGGCCGAGCTCAGTGCCTTGCGTGCTCAAGTCGGGGCTGGAGGAGGCGGGGCGGCTCAGCGCCCAGCGACGCAGCCGCAGCAGCCCCAGACAGACCTCACGTTCGGACAGGTTGTTCAGTTTCTCAAGGCCTATAAGGTCGACGAGGCTGTCATCACCTATGTGCAGCAGAAGCAGATCGAGGAGCAGGAAGCCAGGCCGACTTCTGCCATCGCTGCCCAGCACAGGGTTGAGAACTCGAAGAAAAAGGTCGAGCGCCTGGAGCAGAAGGTGCACAGCTTCAAGCAGCAGCGGGACGAGCTGGACAAGGCCATCGGCGACACCGAGACCCTGCTCACGGAGGCGCGTGCGGAGCTTGAGCGGAACATCAAGGTATCGCACCGCGTGCACCTCGAGCAGACCGCCGACCCCCTCGAGTTCGGGTTCGCAGGCCTCGCGGCGTCAGTCAAGGAGTCGGCAGATGGACGCCAGGCTCTGGAGGTGCTGCGCAGGCTTCAAGAATCGGCTGCCAAGCAAGCCGCCGAGGAGGCAGCGGCTGCTGCTCAGGCCGGCGCCGCTTCTGCTGCAGCTGGTGCCGGGGCTCCTGGTTCAGGGGGCCCAGGCGGGGGTGCTCAGACTGGGGCTGCAGCTGGAGAGGCTGGAGCTGCAGGGTTCTCCAAGATGGAACAAGACGACTTCGACGACGAGGAGTTCCAGGCAGGCCTCAAGCGATTGCACGACAGCGGAGCTGAGAAAGATGCAGTTGCTAAGTTCCTTGCCGAGCACTCGGCGAAGAAGCAGCGGCGGCTTTGATGTAGCAGGCGACGATTTGTCGCCGGAGGACTGGCCTCCGCTTGGGGCTGCGACCCTGCCCGAGAGGACCGCTCGACACCAGGCGGCGCGCAGGGAAGCTGAGGCAGCCCCAGCGGACCTACAGGCTTTCTGGGACCACAACGTGATCGACGTGGAGTGGTCCTGCGCCTTCGCCGTGCCCGCGCTGCAGGCTCCATCTCGGATGTCTCTGAGTGGCGGCATGCCAGACCCTGAGGGGAGAGGAGGCGGCAGGCCTCCATCGGGCCAAGGGGGGAGGGATTCAGCCCCTCGACGTCACACCCCTTGGCCCACATCGGCTCCGAGTTCCTTGACGTGTGCAGGACCTTCCGCGTCGAGCGGTGCACTCACGGCACCAGAGGGGCCGCAGAGGTCGCCGCAGGAAGGAGCCGAAGGCACTCCCCAACTGGCCCACATAGGGGTTGGGGGCAGGAGCGGCGCTGATGATATCCCCGCTTCTACACGGAGGGCGTCTGCGACTCCATCGATTTCGGACGGGGTCGGCGGCGGCTCGGATGCCGTGATTTCTCGTTCCCAAGTTAAGCTCGACTTAGCATAAACAAGTGTCAGGACCCGACAGGAGGACGTCCGAGCCTCCTGGTCGTAATCTTCTCGTTGACGAACGAGCTCCTGGTGTGGCTCGGGGCTCGACGGAGAGCCGCCTCGCTTTGGACATTGAGGCCATTGACGTGTCAGGCGTGGAGTTGCAGGAGCGCCGCTGTGAGTTTCAGGATGTGACTGCCAAGGGAGTGTATGTCGATCGTTTCCAGGTTGAGTACGGCCGCTACGTGGGCGAAGTCTCAATCGACGGGCCCCCAGAGCTGAAGCAGGAGCCCAAGGGAGAGGCCAAGTCTCTCTCCATCCTCGGCATGAACTCGAACGCTTGGAGCACCGCGGAGACGGTCGTGGAGTGGCTCATGGACCGCGGCACTCAGAACGGCGGGCTGGATGAAGTCCCTGATGTGCTCAGCGTGCAAGAGACTAGGCTGAAGAACCCCGACAAGGCGATCTCAGCAACTCGCTGGTGCACGAGGAGAGGTTGGCACGTGGCTCATGGGATGGCCCACACCACTGGCCCAGGTCCTACTCAAAGTTCGTCTGGTGTTGCAGTCGCCGCACAGCAGTCGATCGCCTCAGAGCCCGTGACCTCCGTCGAGCTGAGTGGCAGCAAGAGTCGATTTGTGATTCGGAAGGCGAGCGTCGGCTTTCCGCAAAGCATGCTGTTCATCTCAGCCTACTTCATCACGGGTTGCGAGCTGACGGGACCCAACCTGACTTTGCTCGAAGCACTAGGCGAGTTTCTACTAAGTCAGCCGCTGCCCTGGATTGTACAGGGGGATTTCAACTTTTTGCCGTCAGATTTGATTGCCCCAGGCTGGCTTCAGACTGTTCGGGGAGAAGTTGCTGCGCCGACAACGTCGGCGCTTTCTGGGCCCAGCTCGGTCAAAACTCGGTCTGCGGGCGAAAGCTCCCAGGCTGTGAAGGAGGGCACGGCCCTGTATGAGGATGATGGGGAGAGTACAAGTGGAGGGGGCCGTGTCTTGGACTACTTCGTGATGGCGGAGTGCCTCATGTCTAGGGTCAAGAGCCTCCAGGTCCTCGTTGATGCCCCGCTGTACCCCCACAGCCCCGTCTACATGAAGCTCGAAGGCCTTTTCTCACACGGCGGTGATTTACAGGCAAGTGAGACCCAAGGCCTTTGAGCATGACCTGTATGGACCCCATCAGGAGCCTCCAGAAGATCTTGATTGGGGCTGGGATCTGGGCGCCGACTCCAACAAGGTTTCCCTGGAGGAGATGTGCAAAAGATGGTTCACGCTTTCGGAAGCCAGGCTCGTCAGCCTCCACGGAATAGAAGAGTCGGATATCAAGTACTACACGGGGAGGGCCCGAGGGCCCAGGATGCAGAAGGTTCCTCTAGGGGCTCTTTGGGATAAGGACCAGCGGCGACGTTTCTCCAGCGCCACTACGTCTTGGGTTGCGTTCCAGGCCCTGCTTCAGCGCTGCCGTCAATCGGCCGCAGGCGCAGTCGGCCGTCGAGGCCGTGAGTTTCTGTCCAGCTGGCGTGGCAAGCTGGAGCGCATGATAGGTTGCATGCAGCCCGTCGAGGGCGTTATCTCTGCCTCGGTGCTCGTGGAGCTCGCTAGGGACGCCGCAGAGGGCAAGCTTCAGGGGGACTCGGAGGTGCTGGAAGAGTTAGACAAGGAGGTCTGCAGGAGGAGGAAGCAGGACGCGAAGGAGAGCCTGAAGGAGCGGAAGGAGTGGGCGGTGAGTTCTGTCAAAGGAGGAGGCAAAGCAGCGCATGCGTTTTCAAGGCGAACCCTGTCGAGCCCCACGTCCCTGCTGAATGAATCAGGCCACCCTGTTTGTGGGCAAGAGGCGCTCAGTTTTCTCCTGCAGGTCTGGACGCCGCTCTGGATAGCAGCGGGCCGAGGGGCCCATCACCCGTCGTCTTGGACGGTCCCGCCCGAGGAGCCCGAGCTGCCCCTCATCTCGGTAGACCAACTTCGAAGGGCATGTAAGAGGTATTCCAGAAGATGTGGGTTGGGGTGGGATGGTTTCCATCCGCGTTGGGTGCTGGATTTGAGCGGGGAATATGTTGCCAGATTGGTCGACGTGCTGCATCAGCTCGAAAGGGCCCCGCAAGACCTCCTGTTGTGCATAACGAATATAGTGTTCACCGACAAGAGTGATGGGGGGGTCCGCCCCATTGGGCGTCTGGCGTTCTTCGCGAAGATATGTTCCAGGGTCCGTCAACCTCTGTTCAAAAAGTGGGAACAGGCGCATATGGAACATGTTCTGGGGGGTAAGCAGTACCACCACATGCGAACGTGCGGGGTGGATACATAATCTGCTGGGCACCTACTGTAAGAGTGTCGGGTTCGAGTCTGGAACCGCGTTGTTAGATCTGTCAAAGCTCTACGAACACATTGGCCATGAGGATCTGTACCAAGCCGCTCTACAATTTGGGTTTCCCATACGGCTGCTACGGTGTCTGTGCACGGTGTACACATGCCCTCGCACGCTGCTCTACGGCGGAGCGGTGTCCAGCATCGTGCGCGCGAACGGCTCGGTGATAGCTGGCTGCAGTGGGGCTACGTGTTTGGCGAAGCTGCTCCTGCTTGGGCCCCTGTTGAAGGCCAGAGAGGGGAGACCGCAGCTCTACATCAGAAGCGTGGTAGATGACATAGCGCTGCAGGCGTGTGGAAGGGCGATCCAGGTTGCGTCGGCTCTCAGCTCGGGTGTCGAGCCGCTGCTCGGGGACTTCGATCGACTTAACCTTCCTGTGGCGGTGAAAAAGACCAAGTACATCTGTAGTGCTGAGGTGCAGAAGCTTCTCCAGGGAAAATGGCGCATCCCGCCCTCGTCGCGAGTGGACACGGCTCGAAATCTGGGAACGGATGCGGCGTCGGGTTCCTGTAGAAGAGTTGGGATAGCCAGAAGCAGGTTTGCGAACGCCAGATCTCGAGCTAGTAGGCTTCAGATATTACGTGATGCAGGGGCTGAGGTAGGCCTCATCCAAAGAGTCGGGGCCACCGCTGTGGCCCTGTGGGG